ATGAAACATCTGTTTATAATGTTCCTTTAGTTTATCGTATTATATCTAATTCGAATAGTCAACAGATTACAATTGATTGATTACGTCAAGCTATTGATGCAATTATTGCTAAACATGCTATATTTCGAACATAATTAGATTGGAATATAAATACAAATGTTTTAGTTCAATATATTCAACAATCTAATTATAGAAATCAATATGAATTTGTAATTAGTTATCTTGAAAATGATGAAAAAATAACAAAAATAATTAATAAAGAAATTACAAGTTCAAAATTATTTGACCTTAATCGAGGCATTGTATTACGATGTCACATAATTAAATATAATTCTACGAGAAAAGATGAAGAAATATGCTTAGAAAAGAATGATATTATTATTTTTAATCTCCATCATATTGCATTTGATGGTGCTTCTCGACGAATATTTTTTAGTGATCTTAAATATAGTTTAGAAAATGATAGTACATTATTAAATAATGAAAATCAAGTTCAATATATTGATTATTCAGTTTATGAAAAACAAATGCATATAATATCATCTTATTATTTTTGGCAATCACATCTTGATAGATTGAATTTAGAACGTCGTATTATGTTACTTTTGATCGACATCGTTTATTAGCTAATCAACATTCAGGTTTTGCTCATCTTATTGATATTCCATTTGATAATGATTCAATACATTCATTTTTTGGTTATGGTTCTTCACGAGATATTACACCAATTCAGTTAGGTCTTACTGTATTTTATACATTTTTATATAAATGAAATCAGAATCAAAATGATCTATGCATTTCATGTATTCATGCTAATCGATATAGAACAGAATTACAAAGTCTAATTGGTATGTTTGTTGCAACATTACCACATAGAATTCAAATTCATCCTACTTATTCATTCAATTATTTTCAGTTATTGAATATACACATTATTCTCTTCAACAAATACTTCAAGATTTAGATTATAAACATTCATCTGCTGCTTTTCTCAATATATTATTTGATTTCATTACTTATTCATCTGATACTGATCTTCTATTTATAAATCAAGCACAATTTCAACCAGTACCATAAAACAAAAGCAAAATGTTATTAAATTTGATATGAAACTATTATTTTTTCATGATCCAACAGTTCAAAATCAAACAATATCATGTTCTCTAATTTGTTCACAAGATGTCTTCGATATCGAAACAGTAGAAGAACTATCAAAACAATTTCTACATCTTCTTTCACAATTATTTGTTAAACATTCATCATCAACAAAAACAACATCTTTTGATTTAGTTAATCAACCAATATCGAAATTATCTTTTTGTCTACAAAATGAACCTAAAGAAATACAACAAACAATCTTTCATCGATTACCGAATATTAAGAATGAAGGTATGAATATTTGTATAGATTTGTATCTTATATAGTCTTTGTTCTGTTAAGGACCAGCTTCTTATGCACAATCTCGTATTTGGTTTGATGAACGAATTCGATTCGATCGAGATAAATCACAAGTTGCAATTAATAATATGCCTTTTCTCTATCGTCTTCATTCACAACATACATTATCAACTACACAACTTCATCATGCACTTTAACTCATTCTTACAAAACATCAATCACTTCGAACATCAATTATTTTCGATAATGAAACAAATAAACTTATACAACGAATTATTGATATCAATGATCATTCTAAAAAATCATTTATATTTATTGAAAGTACTTTTAAACTAGATGAACAACTTCATACTATTATGTATGATGAGAAATGCAATTCTCAACTTTTTCATCTTGATCAAGGTCTTGTCTTTCAATGTCACATTCTCTATTATAAACAAACTTCTTTAAATAATCTTCTTTGTGATAAAGATAGAATTATTTTCAATTTTCATCATGTTTTATTTGATTTTCCATCAATGAAAATCTTTCTTCGTGATCTCAATCAAGCATATATAACAAATCAACTACCTACCAATCATAATACTGATCTACGTTATCTTGATTGTATATATTTCTCATATTTGTCTTTGTTAATAGATCTTATCTCTTTTCTTTTCTTTTTTTAGATGCTCTTATTGAATAACAAATGTCAATGACTAGTGCAAGTGTGTTTTGGCTTGATATTCTTCTTAATTGTAATCTTGATCGATCTCAGTTGATTTTGGTCAAGATCTTTCATATGATTTTCTTAACTATGCATTAACAAACAATATAGAACTTCAATATCTAGCACTTGCCGCTTATTATATGTTCTTATTTAAGTTAACTAATGGAGAAAGAGATATATGTATTGGAATGAATACACATACTCGATATAAAGATGAACTTAAATCAATCATTGGTTTATATGAAAATCTTATTCTATTATGATGTCAATTAGATCGTGATGGTTCATTTCATGAGCTAGTTGAATATGTTCAAGAAATGGCAACAAATTGTATGAAATATTCATATTTTCCTCTTCAACATATTCTTGCACAACATTCTGATTGTTCAAAGCCTACATTTCTTGATGTGTCTTTTGATTTTGTGACTATTGAAAAGAAAATAAAGATTGGTGATAGTGAACTTTGTAGTATTCCATTATCAATTACAATCAATGAAGATGAAGATATGAACAAGTTTGATTTCATTCTTACTATTCAATATGATCTCAGCATTAATCAATTCTCATGTATAATTAATGCATCACTCGATTTATTCAATCAAGAGACAATAAATAAGATTTCACAACAATTTCATTCTATGTTATATGATTTATCTACATCTGTTAATGATATAATGAAAAATAAATCAATCTATGAAGTATCAATAATGTTACCAAATGAAAGATTACTTATACAGTCAATGAACAATACACAAGTATTGTTTCCTTCTGCCACTTGTATGCACCATGAATTTATTTATCAAGTAATACAACATCCACAAAAAATAGCTGTTGAACTTGATGAACAATCATTAACATATACAAAACTTTTATATTATGTTCAACAACTTTCTTTCGTCTTATTAAATAAATACAATGTGAAATCGAGTGATATTATTTGTCAATGTGTAGAGCGAAGTTTATCTATGGTAAATATATTTAGAAAATATGGTTTGCAATAATATGTGTATAATATATCCTTTATTTCTCTTTAGGTCATTGGCATTTTATCAATTATTATGGCTGGTGGTGCCTATTGTCCTATATCATCACAAGATCCTTCACAACGTCTACAAATTCTTGTGAAAGAAATTCAAAGTCATTTAGTTCTTGTTCATTCGTCTACACGCATTCTTTTTG